AAAAAAATACGTTTAGTTAAAAATTTTAACACTTTAATATAAATATAACATAAATATTTTAATATCTCAACTTTTAATTCCTTAAATTTAATAAAAAGTTTAAGTAAATGTAATAAATTTATAAATTTAGGAAGTAACTTGTCAAAATTAAAAGTTTAATGGCAATTTACTAAATAATTTACTAAACCGTTTAGTTCGCTGATTCGAGTTTAGATATGACTTCATGTAAGAACTTTTTAATGTCACAAAAATATTAGATATGATTGTTTCTGAGAATCGGTGAAATGAACGAGTCTTTAATTTTTAATATTTTTTAATCAAGTTTTTTCATTTCTTTAATTTTTTTAATATTTAATCATTTTACACACTTAATTAATACTTCATGGCCTTCATTATTTTTTAAATGAATGTCACATCAGCAATTCAACAATAAAATTGGACGGAATAAGCATTTTGAACTTTTTTTTCTTTGGGTGGGTTTGATATTGATTTTAGGAGAGGAAAAACACTTATTGAGACAGCAAAAATTTTAAAAGTTGTTTGGTAAAAACTAAAATAGTAGATTTTGGAATAATTTCCTCTCAATCTGAAGCTAAAAGCAGAATCAGCCTAAAGGTTGATTCTGATTTCAGCTTATGCGGGAATCGTTTTGAAAGTTTAATGAAAATTTTTTATTCCCAATTTTACCTCTAATGAAATCTCAAATTTACCACCTCAGAAACTCATTTTCAGATCTGTTTCTGTTCTCATCTCCTTTCTTCGTTCTGTCTTCTCTCTCCTCCTCTTTGTTTATCTCTATTCTCTGGCTCCGTCTGAAGTGATCTTCCCCGGCTCCATTTGAAGCGATCTTCCTCGGCTCCATTCGCCGGTCTCTCTCTCCGTTCGCCTGTCGGTGCTCATTTGGTTTCTCCTCTGTACGATTGTCAGTTTTCCGGTCTCCCATCTCCTCCTCCGACTGCCCATCTTTACGTCATCAGATCAAGAGGTAAGCCTCTGTAAGTACTCCATTTTTAGTTTGAACATCTGGATTTAATTCTGATTTTTAGTCCGCATATATTTTGGGTTTTAGGGTTCTAATTTTTTGCATAAAAGAAAAACACTTGAGCATTGTTGAAAGACTGTCGATTTGCCGCAAGTGGGAGCGCGCACGCGCAAGTTGGAGCACGCGAGCAAGTGAGAGCGCACACGCGCAAGTATGAGTGCGCGCGCAAGTGGGAGCACGCACGTGCAAGCGGGAGTTTTGATTTTTTGCATCAAAGAAAAATACTTGTACATTGTTGAAAGCTCCTCAACACCTAACCAAGAAAATGAAATGAGGCACTAACGGAATCAGCAACAACAACAAAAAATCGAAAGAATGAGCACTTATTTGGACAGTTGCTTAATAATGTTCGAATTCAAAGCATGTTATGTTATTACATTCATATTATGTAATCTGAATTTATGTACAAATTTTCGGTTCTTCTTTATTTTTCATGATTATACTTTGATGCTCATGTGTGTCTTCTAAAGAGAAAGCTCCAGAGTCGTCTTCATTTTTCTATTGGGAATAAATATGAATTCCCCCTTCTTGTGGAGGTTTTCTCCTAAACACACACACCTACAGGCATGGTGTTTTTTATGATAGTTAATATGAGGTTTGTTCTGTGTGTTTCAATCAAATACGTTAGTTCTTATGCCAATTTTTAGATGAAGTAGCTTGGACTAGAACCTATGATTAGCTTGGCTATTGATTGAGTGTTCGAATTGGAAATAAAGTTAGTATTATCCTTATTATTATTTTTGTAAATTAAAGCATGAAGCCTCACATTGTTTTAGACTTTAAGTTATCAATTCTCAAATGGAGGGTAGTATACCATAAGGTAAAGTAATATGAGACCCCGAGACTGTGAATCTGTTTTGTGATTTGTGTATTATAGAGGTGGAAGTTGGACGCCGTCCTGGAACTCATTTTGATAAAGCTGGATGGGAAAATTTAATTCAAAAATTTAATGAGCAACCAAACGAGTATATAAAAGACAACAATTGAAGAATAAATGTAATGCTTTGAAGAATGATTGGAAGCTTTAGAAGGAACTAATTGGTAAAGAAACTGGTCTAGGTTGGAACATTAAGAAGAATACTATTGATGCCTCTGAGGAGTGGTGGCATAATATATTGCAGGTATACAGAATTATGTGGTTTGTCATTGTTTATTCTAGTGTTGGACTAGGCAGGTTTAATTTATTCAAGTGCTCTTGCAGATTCATCCCAACACATCGAGATTTCACACTTGGGGAATTGAATCACAGTTAGAAGAAAAGTTAAATAGGATGTTCATGAATACTGTGGCCACAGGAGTGCATTCTTGGACACCATCATCTAGACAAGTGCCATGTGAGTCTGATAAAGTTGAAAATGATAATTTTACTCTACCTGAACAACTTGATAGTAGTGGTAAGTCAGGTGAACCAGTGCGTAGTGAAGTGGCACAAGACCGTAAGAATAAGAGGCCAATTGAGACAGAAGAGAGACAAAAGAAAGTCAAGAAAGGAAAAGGAAACTTGAAGGTTGGAGGAGCTGCTAAATTATCTCAACAAATTGATCGCCTTGTCGATATAGTTGAGAAGTACCGGATCATTGATTGCGCAATCTGACACTGGAAACTATAGCATAACAAAAGTTATTGAAGTTCTAGATTCATTACTAGGATTACAGATTGGTAGCGAGTTGTATTTCTTTTTGGTCCACTTGTTGTTAGACAAGAATAAGAAAGAGGCATTTATGACTTTTAAGGAACCTGAGTTGAAGCTCAATTGGCTTAAGTTTGAACATAGGCTAGGATCCTCCACTTAGATTTCCATTCCTCATTTCTTTTAAGTGCGGTTTTCTTGTTGTATTGATGGTTGAGACATTGTTATTTTCTTTCAGTATGGTCTTGTTGTTGTATTCATGTTGGAGACATTGTTGTTTTCTTTCAATGTGGTTTTCTTGCTTTATGTTTAAGACATTGTTGTACAATGACATTTCGTATTACTACTTATATATGAGTCTGATTGTTTTAATTGCACCATATTGAATGGCAGGTTTATTGTTGTTGCCAAAAATGACTGACAATGATGATGAGTTTGATCTACAACTTGTATGTACCATTGCTCGACTCATTGAATATTACTACAACATGTATGTTCATAAGAATCTGTGTATGAACTCTTCACAAATTGGAAACATGTGGGTAACAGAATTATTAAGAGGGCATGAAATTATAAGTTATAGGATGTTTAGAATGGATAAGAACGTGTTTTTGAAGCTATGTAATGATGTACAGAGAAACTACGGGTTACATGGATCAAGGAATATGTGTGCGGCTGAAATACTTGGAATGTTTTTATTCATTTTAGGTCAGGGTGTGGGGAATTGTTCAGCACAAGAGCGATTTCAACACTCTGGTGAGACTGTGAGTAGATATTTTAATAATGTTTTAGAAATTGTATGTAGTATGAACATTGATATTATACAGCCCCCAGAACTAGAGTTTAATGACGTGCCAATAGAGATAATGATGGATCGTAGATATATGTCACATTTTAAGGTAAAATCATACTTTTTATTGCTTTATTCCCTACTAAAATTATGTTTATTATACAATAAAATTCTTCTTTATAGAATTGTATTGGTGTAATATATGACGTACGTGTTTAAGCTATAATTCCACCAGAAGATCATGTGCCATTTATTGGAAGAAAGCGTGTGCCAACCCAAAATGTGATGGCTGCTTGTGATTTCAGTATGAAATTTATATATGCATATGCAGGTTGGGAAGGTAGTGCCCATAATACAAGAATATTCTTATCAGCACTACGTAACCGACATTTGAAATTTTCAAAACCACCTGAAGGTTAAAACATTGTCTATATTTTATATTATATATGTTTTACATTTTACTAATTCTTGTGTTTTTATTTTAATAGGTAAATATTATTTGGTTGGCACGGGCTATCCACAATTAAAAGGATTTCTTAGACCTTATAAAGGAGAACGATACCATTTACCACAATTTCGAATGGGTCGTCGACCAACAGGCAGTAAAGAGGTATTCAACCAAGCACATTCTTCTCTTCGAAGTGTCATTGAACGCACTTTTGGTGTTTGGAAGAAAAAATGGAAAATTTTGAGAGCCATGCCTAATTATTCATTTACGAAGCAAATAAAAATAGTTATTGCAACAATGACGCTTCATAACTATATTAGGATGCATGATAAGCGTGATCGACATTTTCAAAAAGTCAAGGATAATCTAAATGTTTTCGTTTTTGAAGAGCATCAACCGGAGGGCAATGTAGAAGAAGATGAAGCTTCACTATCACAAGAAATGGATGAAGCACGAGATCAAATTGCGATAAGTTTAATGAACACGACTTAATTCTTTTAATGACTCTGTCAGTTTTTGAACATGAAATGTACATTTTTGTTCAACAAATTGATTACTCACTAATGCTCCTTTTAGTTGTAACTATATTGTGAATGAAGAAATGAAAAAAAGAATTAATTATCATAAATTTATTGTTAAAAAACTCAAAATCATAGCATTATGTTTTTTTAAAGTTAAACAAGTATCTCTAAATACCAAAAATAATTATATATATTTAAGTTTCATACAATGTCTATTTTAGTCATTTTACATACCCACAGTAATTTAACATTAAAATTTACCAAACGCTATTACACTGATTTTAAAATCAGCACAACTATTATAATTATAGTTTATCAAATACTCAATTTCTTCGTGTAACAGTTGCTTCTTTTTTCAATACAACTAAAATCAATTTTTTTAAAATTCACAATACTATCAAAGTAAGTCTTTATTTCGGAGAATGTTTTGAACTGTTTTTAAAAATCGGAAGGCACTTTAGAATAATGTACAAGTTTCGGGGCATTTATGAAAATAATCCTATCCTCAGCTCCAGCCTTACTAGTTACTACTACTCCTTTCACTCGTACACTGCAACTCGAACACTTTCTCCGAAGCCATGTCTCTCCTTCCCTCCAAGCTGCTCTGCCTCCTTCGTCCTACTAACCCAATCCTGGGACTCGCCCACACTCGTCGCCAAACGTCGCCGACTCCGCCGCCGCTACGGCGAGTTCTCTGCGCCAAGAGAACCGGCAAGCAGAGATATCCATCGGAGAAGAAGAAGCTAAGGCTGAAGCGCAAGGATGTCCTCGCCGACGTCAAGTCCGCGAACAAGTTCGAAGGATTCTGGAGGCTTTCGAAGCTCGGCGTTCCGGTCCACAAGGATCCCGGGAAGGATTTCCTCGGCATCTCCGACGGCTTGCTTGAAGCCATTGCCAAAGTTCTCGAGTTCCCGGTAATTTGCGGTTCTGTTTGTTGGTGAAAAAGTGTATAGGAAAATTACGAAATGAACAGAAAATTAATGATGATGTTCTTTTTTTTTTTTTTGTGTGGTGGAATTGGTTCTGGAAATGTGAAGTTCTGTCAGTTAAGTCCAAAATTGAAACTCGAGAAATTATCAATTAGGTTTTTAAACAAAGTTTGCGTTTTTGGTTGTTTTTTCTTCATTTCTGATTAACAGTGGTTCAGATGTGGAAGGTTTTAGTATTTTTTTTAGCTTGGCGGGAAAAGAAGTTCGTAATTTTCATAACGATTTTGGGTGCTATTTGTACCTAAAAAGCCAAAAAAAAAAAAAAAGAATAAACGACGAGAGAGAGGGAAAGAAAAAGTTTGCATTTGTATTGTTATAATTTTTGATATGAAGATAGATCGCCATAGCTGAAAGAAATGTGTTATTATTCTAGGTCAGCTGAGTAGTTTTTTTTTTAAATATTTTTTGATATATAATTTTACTTTTTGGCATTGGATTTTCACTTTAGATAATCTAGTATTTGTTAATAGGAGCAATACTAAAGTATTCCTGTGATATCTGACGAGTCATATTCCCTTTTCCCCCTTGGTAATTCCAGGTTGCTTCAATGTTGCCTGCAGAAGCATTCTCAGTAGTTCGTAAATCTTTTGATGCGCGGAAGGTAGGTTCAATGGTTTGAAACACTTTCATTTTCCCTTTAATGCTTGTTCTTATCATATAAGAGGTGAAATCTTAAAGTCAGTCTTTGTTTGATAGACACAGAGATTTGGTTTACCTGCTAAAAGAACATGCTTCTTTCGAAAGTCTATCATGGGTTAACTGCTTTAGGAGAAAGAAAGTTGGAGTTTCTTCTGCTTACACAACTAATATCCTCTGTTGGTGTTTTTTCTTTTTGGTTATCATTATTTAGGTGCTAAAGGAGCCTAAATTTGTATACATAGTTGACATGGATGTCAATAAACTTATTAGTTTGGAGCCTCGTGCATGGGACTTCATTTCGCGTTTGGAGCCTAAAGCTGGGCTTATAGAACATTTGCCGCATGGAAAAGTATCTGGGGATTTAATCAGTATCATAAAAGACTGTAAAAAGATCTCTGGCAATGCAGTTTATAGGGATGATGAACATGACATTTCCTCTGTGTCTAAGGGATCAGTCACGTATAAAACATCCACAAAACCAAGAATTGCAATTGTGGGTAGTGGACCATCGGGGCTTTTTGCTTCTCTCGTTCTTGCAGAACTTGGTGCAAATGTTACGTTGATAGAACGAGGGAAGCCTGTTGAACAAAGGGGACGTGACATTGGCGCTCTAATTGTACGTCGGATACTACAGACGGAAAGCAATTTTTGCTTCGGAGAGGTTATACTTTAAACTTGATTTTCTTTTACTCTTGATAAAAATTCTATTAATTCGTCATTTATTTTACGTGCCATTATTTTCAAACACTTTGAATTTAGGTTTTGGAATCAGTAATCTTTTCGCCTGTTGATATGGGGGGACGTATCCGGTATTGGATGCTAGTGAGTAAGGATGTTGCTCAGAAGTGTTTGCTCTCTGTTTTTCAATGGCAATCAATCAATGTGATAATGGCATTTTTTCCCCCTGAAAATTAGGATGTTAAATATGAAATTCATGCTTTTTCCTTCTAACCTTTTTTATGGAGATCTGGATTCTGTACTATTACTGAAAGGCTATGACCAATAATGTGATTGATGTGGATCTCCCAAAATGCTTAGGAGAAATGGCATTAAGTAATGTTAATTGCTTAGGTTGATATCACATTTTTTTATTTTATTTTAGATTTCATGTTCCTGTGGTTTTTTAACTATTAAGCGCAAAATTCTGTTACATCTATCTGTCATTATTTTTGTCTAGTACTTTCTTTGCTACTTATGCTACATTTCCCGTCCTTTATAATTGAGCATTTATCAAGCACTTATACATGGCAGGGTGGTGCAGGTACCTGGAGCGATGGAAAGCTAGTAACTAGAATTGGAAGAAACAGTGACAGTGTTTTAGCGGTTAGAACTTTACCTTTATCTTGTTGAAGTTGTCTTATCTACTTCATTTGAATTGGTTTAGGCTTTACCTATTTGGCTCACAGAAACTGCGTGAATCACTAATTGCATTTGATAAATTAGTTACTGGTAGACCATATTCTTTCCACTATTATTTTGGAGATTATTAAAAACAAGGTCCATCTCAATTGTTTTAATTATTGTTTTTCTTCGGTGATGAAATTTTACAACAATAAAGAAAATCTTGAGTCTTTGGGTGCTCCAACTCTCCAAGTATCCTTACTTAAGCCCGCGTCACTTATCTTATTGAATGATTTAACAGTGATATCGTTTTAGGTTATGAAAACTTTAGTTCATTTTGGAGCTCCAGAAGGAATCTTAGTTGATGGGAAGCCACATCTTGGAACAGACAGATTGGTCCCTTTACTTCGCAATTTTCGCCAACACCTACAAGAACTTGGGGTGAGTGGCCTATTAGCTTCTAGCCAATCCGTTATCCAATGGATACTGTCATATATTTATTTCTTAATTCATACATGGTTCCTAATGCTGTTCCTTTTTCTCCTACAATTCTTAGGTTACTATTGAGTTTGGGAAGAGAGTAGATGATCTTCTCATAGAAGAAGGAAATGTTTTTGGGGTCAGAGTATCTGACTCGAGAGACAACTCACGTTCTAATAGCCAGAAGTGGGAATATGATGCTGTTGTTTTGGCTGTTGGACATTCAGCACGTGATATTTATGAAATGCTTCTTTCTCATAATGTCACTTTGGTCCCAAAAGATTTTGCTGTGAGTAGCTAATTCTTCTCTTTTATTTGGGTTAATAATGGTGTATCTGGTAATGTAGCTATGATTGAATTAATCATGAGACCAGCTTATCAATATGTATGATTCTAACTAATTTGTCTTTCATCACTGCCAATACTACATTGTTTGCACACGTTAAATCAAATTTAACAAAGGAAGCTACTTTGTTTGTTTATGAGTGTAGTTATTGACCAGAACAGTCTTACGCTTATTCTTTCATAGATTCTGTGTAGATTATAGAAGTATCATATGGTCCTTTTGCACTGCATATTATCTTATTTGTACTTGTCTGCTACTGTGGGTAGATGACTTAGTTCATAGTGTAGCATACTTTGTAAAAGAAATGGTGAAACTTTAGACCATCTCTTCCTTCATTGTCCCTTTTCCCTGTGCATTTGGTACCGAGTTCTAAATGAGTTTGGAGTTTCTTGGGTGATTCCAAGTAGGGGTGCGGAAATCTTCAATGGTCATTTATTCAATAGTAGGTGCAAGAAGCTTTGGAATGGAGCAATTCTCTCCGTTACTTGGGCTCTTTGGTTAGATAGGAATAACCAAATTTAAAGGCCTCAATGCTTTTTCCTTTTCAGACTTGCTTAGAGGATGGGATTTAGCACTTCATAAATTTTGTGTTCTTAGTTTTTTTTTTTTTTGCTTCCGATTTTGTTTGCGTAGGTGAACTCCTTGTCCCATGTTGTCCCTTTTCTCCTTTTGTCCTTTTATTAATAATATTCTATCGTTTCTTATCAAGAAAAATATTTTTTTTTGCTTTCAATTTTGTTTGCGTAGGTGAACTCCTTGTCCCCTGTTGTACCCTTTCTCCTTTTGTCCTTTTATTAATAATATTCTATCGTTTCTTATCAAGAAAAATAGTGTAGCACGCTCTGTTGCTTAGGTGGTGATTTTTCATACACAAACAACACACATGCATGCTTGCTAGATCATGTGGTGTGAAGTCTCCAGTCTCCACAATTGCAATAAAGTAACACTTGCTATTAGGGAGAGGTGGTGATGAGGAATGTTATACTTCTGTAGCTATTCTTCAGGACATAATTCTCCTAGACTAAATTCGAGAGGAAATACACTGCATAATGCCAAAATGCTGGAAATTTGAAAGTCTAGATACATGCTTTCTAAATTTAGTTGTGGAACTCTTGTTTTCTATGGCACTTCAAAAAAATAAAAAAAAGTACTAGTGAGGATTTACTCTTTTTTGTATGAGTTTCAGTTTATTTACTTGTTTTCCTTTAATATGATATCTTATATGGTTTGAACAGGTAGGTTTGCGGATTGAGCATCCTCAGCAAGTGATAAATAGCATACAGGTTAGTTAAGTTACTTGTCTCCCTTTTGAAAAAAAAAAATTTGCCTTCCTTGTAAGACGGTGTACATTTTGGTTGTAACTTCATCTCTGCCAGTTACTCTCTTTCTCCCTTTGAAAGTTTAAGTAGTTCGAAATATGAGCCAGAGATGTTAAGACCTGCATAGGAAGAGGTTGCTAGTTACTGTATATAATATCCACTGCTACAACACCCTACATTAAATATGGTTCTCTGTTCTTTTTAGTTTATTTTTTTATTTTTATTTTTTAATTTTTTCCTCCACGAAACATAAAGACGCGTTATTAAAAAATTTGGAAAAAGACACGGATGCATCTATTTAATATCAGATCCAGGTTCTTTAGTACAAAGCCAACAGACTTTACAAGCTACCACAACTGATGTCTTCCATTACTTTATATTTTAAGAAAACGTAGAATGGCAGTTACTGCAAATCCTAACAAACTCAATGATACATAAAAGTGTTGCAGGGTACTCATTTATGAAGGGAAATTGTGTTAAATGCCCATTTTGGATACTTCTTAAAACTTTATATTCTTTTCGAGTTTTTATCACTTATTTACTAGGTGTACATTGATGATTTACCTAATTTGATAAGTTCTTCTAAAGAGTAAATTGCTAATTTATTCCATTAAATCAATGATTTACTGGAAACCCCTCTATGAGTTCTTTTTATATTCTCATTTCATTTTTTTTCCTGATTAGAATTCAAAAAATTTATATGAATATTTGTAGTATTCTGCTTTGGCATCTGAGGTTCGCTGTGGACGTGGAAAAGTACCTGTGGCAGATTACAAGCTTGTGAAGTATGTACGAGACGAGGATAGTGATGCATCTGCAGGTGCAAGTCGTAGTTGTTATTCATTCTGTATGTGTCCTGGAGGGCAGGTACTTCTCTTTTCCTTTTAAGAGCCTAACAATTATCTCTGCGTCATTTGAAATTGCAAATTGCAATCCTTTAGCTGGGATGCTGTAAAGAATGTAAATTGAGTAAACTAGAATTATCAGACAAATTTATTGCATACCTCCTTTTTGTGGCACTAAGTCTCAACATGTCCCTTTCATTTAGGTGCCATTTGGGAACGGCTTCTAGATGACTAAGTTATACATAAATCAATTTAATGATGATGGACCCACCTGTTATAATCTTATTGGATATTGTCATTTAAAATGCATTTGCAGGTCGTTCTCACAAGTACAAATCCATCAGAACTCTGTATTAATGGCATGTCTTTTTCTCGACGTTCATCTAAGTGGGCAAATGCTGCACTTGTTGTGAATGTCTCAACAAAGGATTTTGAGTCACTGAATTTTCATGGTCTTCTTGCAGGGGTTGAATTTCAGGTATTTGCTTTCTTTCAACTTTTGCATTTTTTGGCTCTTGTTTCCAAATTTGATGTTACTTTCTTTCCGGATATGCTTCTTTAATAATCCGAGCCATTACAGACATTGCAACCTTTTCTCCATATAGTTCGATATAATTAATCAAACTGTTTGGAGTTACCTTCAATTTTCTTCTGCTACACTTGAATGCCGTAGGATATGACTTCCATGCAAGGCTTTTTGATGTGGTTGCATTTCATTTTTTTAAGTGGCATTTCATATTTTCCAACTATTATGTAATAGTTTTGTTGGCAAAAACAGTACTGATTTCAACATTTTTTGTTTAAAAATTAAGAGGGAATTAGAAAGAAAAGCAGCTATAATGGGAGGGGGAAACTTCGTGGTGCCTGTACAGACAGTTACAGACTTTCTAGATAGCAAATTATCAGGTATGGTTAATTTGTCACTTCCTGATATGTTTTCCCGTTAAAAAATCTAAATGTATTTATAGTACTAGTTGTCTTGTTTTGTGTAGCAACATCTGTTCCACCATCAAGTTATCGGTTAGGAGTGAAGGCAGCACATCTCCATGAGTTGTTCCCTATTCATGTAACTGAGGCCTTGCAGCGCTCTATCTCAATGTTTGACGAAGAGGTTTTTTCCACCCTTCCTACAGTTAATTTTCTGTTGTCTGTTACATATATTTCTTGAACATTATAAATAATTATGTTCTTTCAACGTTGGAACTTTCAGTTACCTGGATTTGTTTCCAAAGAGGGTCTTCTTCATGGAGTGGAGGTAATCTTTTTTCTATAATATGTTATCTAGCTCATTGGTGGGGTTAGATCGTTAGTCTCATTTCTGTTAATGGACAAACTGTCTTCCTAATTGAATTATCACATTAGATATATATGTTCCTCCCCTAAAGTGTTACTTATGGTAAGCGTATTATTTTTGCTTCCAGACTAGGACGAGTTCTCCTGTCCAAATTCCCCGCAGCATTGACACTTTCGAGAGCACATCATTGAAAGGTTTGTACCCAATCGGCGAAGGAGCAGGATATGCTGGAGGGATCATGAGTGCAGCAGTGGATGGCATGTATGCGGGATTTGCTGTGGCAAATGCTTTCGAGTTATGTCATGGTGGTATAGAGTCAGTTTTTGGCAAGACTCAGAGGGCTGGTGTCGTTAAATACTAGGAACTTATTTGGTTCCTGTTTCCACAGTGCCTCCCGGTACGCCATAAATACAAGTTCAAGCATCAAGACGTATGTTGTAAGGTAGATAATTAAGTAAATTTCTTATGGAACATTATCTAGCATACTCCATTTCCTTGATGAGAATGCGCTACATAAAAAGAATAGAAAAGAAAATTAACATTCCATCTTTCCATTATTGTCGTGCAGCTTGCTAAATATTTCGGCTTTGATCAGGCTTGGAAATATTCAAAATCTCCTTTGAAGTGATCTGGTGGGTCAGTTGTAAGTGAAATCGATCAATGTCTGCTTCATTGAATCTGACGAATGAAGTTTTCATCTATATCAAACTATTGCTGATTGAGAGCTGTTATAGATTGTAGGAGCTGTTGTGATGATCACTAATATGACAACCTTAGATCCTAGCCCTCTTGGGAATCGTTTAGGCAACTTTTCAAGCACGATAGGCTTCAAAAAAAGAATATTGTGAAATTTAAAGTTACATCTTGTCATACAACTACCAACAACGTTAATTGTTACTTTTTTTTTTTTCTTTTTAATCCACTTTATTTTTCCCATGTTATTTGCTAAAGAACCCAACAAATAGCAAAGCTTGCATTGTTGGCCTTCACTGTATTTTTATTCCTCTCAACTGGGAAAGAATGTTTCACATGCATTCAATTTCGATTGGAAATGCAAAACGAAAAAGGATTTTCACGGCAAGGTACGTTATTTTGTCCTATCGGTAAAGTAATTTTAGCCGATTAAATTTCAATGATATGATTTATGAGTGAAAGAACTTTTGTGTTATAAATTGCAATATTTATAAGATGCATATTCATAAACTGGGTTGTTAAAATTTGATTGAACAGCCAATAAAACTTGCTTTATCAGCAGGGCAAAATAATGTAACCAACCCTTGAATTTCTTTTTAAGAGTTAAATATTGCCCCTAAAGAAAAGAAAAAGAAAATGAGGAGTTTTTACATGAATGATGGTCTTTTTTTTTTCCGTTAAAAAACAGGTATTTTTTACGAACCTTTCGAAATTAATTTCCAATGCACCATTAAGAACGTAGTAACCTAACTGATACAATAACTAGAGGTCATATTCGACTCATTTAGGGAAAATTTTCTTGCCCCCTTTTTTACCCTTTTTTTATAATTTTTTTTATTTGGTAGCACTTTTGTTTGACCTCTTTTGAGTCCTATGAAAAATGGTGCATTCTTTTAAACCAGAGGGAAAGGAAAACCCAACTTCAAAAAATAAAAATAAAAATAAAAATAAAAAAATAATAAAAAGAGGGAATGGAAAACCATGTTTTTAGGTAGGAAGGTTTTGAGACATGAAGCAGGATACCCACAATGCTCAGCACTTGAACCCTTTTGTTGTTTTTAATAGCAACGAGAAAAGAAGATTTTCTTGTGTTGAGATCAAAATGGATACTAGATATCCCATGTGATGTGACCAAAAGAACCAAAAGAAGCAATGAATACACAGAGACAAAATATTCAGACTGCAGAGCCATTTTGTTCCCATCCATATTGCTATATCCCCTTTCTTATATATAGTTTCCCAAGGTATCCAATGTGAACTACTACAATCTATAGTCCCAAAATCCAAACCAAAGTACAATCGGTGAGTATCATATAATATGTTATACTGAAAATAAAATAAAATAAAAGAACAAGGACAAAATCACCAATCTGAATAATTTTGTTGCATATACATTACATACTGCCCACATAATCAACGAAACAAAAGAAATAATTTGCCCACATGGAAGTTGCCACCTCAGCCCCCATGATATGTTTTGAGTGCCAATAATACATGGGATGAAAAGTGAAGAGGATCTTCTCCTTTTCCTTTTTTTTTTTTTTTTTTTTACTTTTTTTTGTTTACTTTTTGTTTGTTTGGATTTTATATGGTTTTAAAGCCTTTAAAAGGACATGTTGGAGCAGCTAGAGGACATGCAAGGAGCATGGCATATGCATGGGTTTGAAATGGTCTATGATGAATTATGCAATTTGTTTCATATATATTAGCACATGAAGGCCCATTATTTGGGCTTAATTTATTGTAATCCTAAAACTGCACTTATCCACTACTCACCCAAAATCAATGCACAATTATTATTTTCTCCTTCTAAGCATCTAAAAAAAGAAAATGATTGAATTTATCTTGCGTATTTTAACCACCTACTCTTAATTAATATTTTATTTGATTATAAAGAATATTAATAAAGAGTATATAATAAAAATATCTAAACGCATGTACTCTAAATGAATATATATCTCTTTTTCCTATCAAAAAATTTGAGCAAGGAAATACAAAAGAAAAAAAAATTGGAATCGTGAAGGTTCATTCTAGTGATTAAAATAGGTTGATTGGTTTGAATTACAGCTGAATTCATCTCCCCCACTAATCAATCATTTACAATATTATTTCAGTTTTTCTATTTTTTTTTTCTTCTTCATTATATGCATGTTAATTGCATATGGATCTTATCCAACATAGTTTTTCTAATTTCTAGTATCCCTAATTCTTATGTATTATCTACTTATTGAGACACTTTAGCCGTACAATATAGGGTGACCAAATACACTGCATTTTCGTCCTCAGAATTCCTTTGTAGGTATAAAAAAATACCTTACCAGCACCACTACGATACAGTTTTAACGGGTAGATTTGCATCGGGTTTTATTAATTGTCATACTTTATTTAAGTTAATTTGATCTAATTGTTAAATATGTAATTGAATTTGATATGACACTTAAAAGAATATCTTATCAATATTGATTTTTTTTCCCAAAACCTACTGTAAGATTCTCTTTTCTTATCAATATTGATTTTTTTTCCCCGAAACCTACTGTAAAATTCTCTTTTTTACATGATTTTACAACGGGATTTATTTTATTTTATTTTATTAGAGTTTCCTTTTCTCATATATACTAATCAAGAAAGACTATTATGGTAAATCAATTCTACCAAAGAAAAAGACAACTAACAAAGTCTTCACAATTTCAGGACAATAATGGTACCACAATCTACTATTTAGAAAATCCTAGCTTTTGGACTTGCCCTACGCGCAGTGTCGTTTCTGAACGGATCTGCTTCATTATACTAAACAACCATTCAAAGTAAAATAAAATCTGGAAATAGTAATGCTTAATTAGAGTATGGGGGACAAAAAAGGGGAGGCCTAAAGGGAGAGGACAAAGGGTCACAAGTCTCTGCCTCTTTTTTGTTTTTTTTTTTCAACTGAGAACTGAATAAAGTATGATTTGTTTTAATCACATATGGCATGTGGCAGCAATCAGAAAATTGAGTTTTGTCATGCAATTCTCTTGCTGCAAAATCACATTGTTTTTAAGCTGCAGAACATACAAAAATATGGGTCCTCTTTATTTGTATTTTTTTTTTCTTTTTTTGCATTTATTGAATGTTGATTTTTATGATTATATTCTGAAGGGTGTTTTGTCCCAATTCATGTATTAAGCAACAAAAAAGCATAATGAATGTTTTGAAGCAAACCAGTTTTTTTTTTTTTTTTTTTTTTTTTTTTTTTTTTTTTTTTCATCCAAGATTCAGATTAAGAAAGGGAACACTTTTTAAAGAGTACCCCTATTCATGTGGTGTCTCCGTCATTGTGGTTGTTTGTTTTTTGGTAGGAAAATGAAAAGGGTAATTTCTATTGGTGGCAGAATATAATCATGAGAAATTATTATAAGAGCCAAAGTTGATCAACATGGAGGGAAAGATTTCAAAACCAAAAAGGGTGAAGAAAAAGAAAAAGAAAAGAGAGAAGAAAGTTTTGGTTAAAGAAAGGAGGGGTGGAGTTGTAAAGTGGAACTTTCAACCTGAATAGGGTGGCATGTTACAATCCAAAAGTCTTTTGACCACCATATTAATATTAACTATAAACATGCTTAATTCTTAATCTTTCTCTGGTTTTGCAAAAGCAACTTTGTTACTAATTGGATTGAGCTTACAAAAAAGAGAGAATTCATTACTAATTGTATTATAAAAAGGAAACACAATAATTTTATTTTGGTTGAAAGAAATACAATATTTTACATATAGGGGCAATTTTACTTCTAGTGATTTGACAGATTACCATTTTCTGTCAAGAGCAGATTCACGACCCCGACATGAACATTTTGTCACTCATATTATTTCTTAGAAAAGTATTTGAATACATAATAAATCGGACAAAACCCAAGAAAATTATTCACCTTGAATATATATATATATATATATATATATTAATGTTATTCTATATCATTTTCTTTTTGAATCTAGTCAAGCAATAAAAATGGCTATGAATCTCAACACTCGAGTGGGACTGCTCTTTTTCGTTCTGATTTGTTGGAAACATCAATGATGACCCTACAAACACAAATGGTGATCTCAAAACGACTATGCCCCAACTTGGGTATCCTAAAGCCTTTCTAACTATAAAGTGCCCCAACTAACAAATGGTTGCAATTATTTATAGTTTAATATCTGTCCTGTGGTTTGAGAGAGAAATAGGAGGTCAATCTCTATTGCCATCCTAAAATATAAAAAAGAGAAGGGGAAAAAAACTAAAAGCAATAAACCATAAATGCCCCACATTAGGTTCAAATTTCAAAGAGGCTGAAAAATGAAAAAAAAAAAAAAAAAAGGATCATGGTGACAACAACAAACTATAGGATATTTTGACTCAATATTCCATGTGCTCATATCATATTAACTTGTTAATTGTCTTAAAAAATTTAAGAAAATTGTTGAATTTATACTTAGAGTGCATGGGTCTCTATTTTTACCCCTTAGTCTTAAATACTATTTTTTTTAACTAATATGATTATTTGAATAAAAAAGACAATAAGAAATTGGGTCAATAATAGTGTTTGTTCTCTAATAGCGTCATGTTACACTTGACAATTGATTGTCAAATTTTCCCCTTTTATATAGAAATGTGTCTGCTTATGTAGGAGAAACAAGTTGTTATAGATGTCATCTCTCATCCCCTTATTATCTTAAGTAAATCTCTTCCAAGCCAATATATATATATATATATATATATAATTAGAAATAAAAAAAAATTAAGAACAATCTGTGGATCTTACTAATTTTACTGTTGTGGTCACTAGTTATAAAGTTTCTAGGCAAGTGTGATTTTGACATCGTTGTTCCTTTTGGAGCATATTGACTTGTGATCTTGAGTAGCCGTAGAATCACTAATGACATCCTTAGTCATTACTCATTTTCAAGGTTCAATCTTTATGTGATTATGTGAATTAGACAGCCTGTGTGGTTCACGTCAATCTTCATATATTAGATAGGCTTCCAATGATACCTGAGGGACCAAAATTAACACACTTTCAAGCACTTTTCCTCTGCGTTCGTTACGCCTTCTTCTCTAGCTGTAAGATGGACCTTCCATTCCACCTTTCGGCTAAAAGCACCAAAATACAAGGCTTGTCCCCACATCATCTTCCTCTTTCTTTATTCTTATTTACTTAAGAATATTGTTGCT